ACACACACACACACACACACACACACACACACACACTGGAATATGATCATAGCTGCACCCATTTCCTCCCAAACTTCTCCTGCATCCTCCAAACATGCATCCTCTTTATACTTTTCTTTGATAACTCATTAAGTACAATTAGTGATGTCAATATGCTCATGGGTATGAAGCCATCCACTAACATGTCAACTTAAAGTGTTTGCTGAAAGAACAGGGGATGGTATTCTTCTAATACTAGAAGGCATTTAATTTTTTTTGTCATTACCACATTTCCCACAGATTCTTTGAGCCATCTAGCCACAGGTTCTTGGCTGCAATGATGTCTTGAATGGGTCAATCTCATGGATTGAGATTCAATTTTGACGAGAATATAGTTGGCTAAACATATAACATTCATGCCACTATCACACATATGGTTGTTGTTTGCCATTTCCATAATTACTGTAAGTCACAGGGTTCACAGTTTTTTTTTCTTTTTCTGGTAGTGAGATTCTTGTTACAGTAGATTACAACTAACATAAATTCACACAAAATGTCACTATGCAAAGAAGAAGACACTGAGGAATGTTCAGCCCTAAATGTTTAATTTGCATCAAAAACTCTCCCCACAGCTCTGGGATCATCACGGAAAATGTAAAAGAAAGATTATAAGAATCAGAAATGGTGGATTAAAAACCTATTTTTTTTTCTGGGTACAACAGAAGAGTTGCAAATGAACTAATGGTTATAACATTATTCACAAGGTCTAAACATGCATAAACAAGACAAAATTCTACCACAGAAGGTAAATGTAGGTACAAAGTTCTACCCTAAATAATGAACTACAGGAAATTCATAACTTCTAGGAGAAGAAGAGTCTATTTACTTTAGGGATTTGGTCCTGGTAGGTTGACCATGTTCCATGAATGGTCCCACCCCTAAAGTATTTGGACAGCATAAAAATGTTTTGCTTTGTTTTGTTTTCTAAGAAAACACAAACTTGAGTGGGTAATAAAATGGGGATGGATTTAGAAAAGATAAAGAAGGGGTGAATATGAACAAAATACACTGTATAGTACTCTCAAAAAGCGGGTAAAATGCTACTGTAAACAGAGCTAAACAGAATTATCAACAATTATCAGCAGAGCAATCTCAAATGGCAGATACACTTAAAAATGTTCAGCAGTCTTAGTTATCAGGGAAATGCAAATCAAAATGATTCTGAGATTCCACCTCGCACCAGTCATAATGGCTAAGTTCAAGAACTCAAGGAAAAGCACATGCTGGGAAGGATATAGAGCAAGGGGAGCAGTCCTCTGTTGTCGATCAGAGTGCAAACTTATACAACCACTCTGGAAATCCGTCTGACAGTTTCTCAGAAAATTGGAAATAGTTCTTCTTGAAGACCCAGGTATACTGCACCTGGGTATATATCCAAAAGATGCTCCACTGTATCACAAGGACATGTGCTCCTTGATGTTCATAGCAGTCTTATTCCTAATAGCCAGAAGCTAGAAACAATCTAGATATCCCTCAACTGAAGAATGAATAAAGAAAATGTGGTACATCTACACAATTAGATACTATTCATCTATTAAAAACTAAAACATCATGATTTTTGCAGGCAAATAGATGGGACTGAAGAATACCATCCAGAGTGAGGTAACCCAGAACCAGGAGGACATGCATGGCATGTTCTAACTTATAAGTGAATATTATCCTTAAAATACAGTATATACACACACTACATTCCACAGATACAAAGAAGCTAAACAAGAAGGAAGCCTCCAAGCAAGGATACTTAAATATCACTTAGAAGGGAAATAAAATAGTAGAAAGCAGATAGATGGATGGAATGGTGTGGGAGAGGGTAAGGGAAGGGGATAAAAGGGGCAGGACTGAGCATGGGGAGGAGACAGAAGAGAGGCCCAGAGGACCAGGATGGTGAATGGAAATCTGCAGCTGTCAGGGGGTGGAGTATAGGAGGAACTTTTAGAAAGTTCCAAAGACCTGGGATGGGGAAGGCTCCCAGGATTTGATGTGGGTGACCTTAGCTGAAATGTCCAACAGTGGGGATATGGACCTGAAGAGTCCATCTACAGCAGTCAGAAAAAAAAAAACCCAATGGAGGGATGGGAACAGCAACATACCTACAAAACTTTCAACCCCCAATCTCTCTTCTCTAAAAGAAATGCAGGAACAAAACTGGAGTGGAGACTGAAGGAATAGCTGACCAGTGACTTGCCCAACTTGGGATCTATCCCTTGGGTAGGCAAAAATCCCTGACACTATTACTGAGGTTATGTTGTACTTATAGTCAGAAGATAGTGTTGCTGTTATCTGAGAGCTGCTATGAGCAGCTGATTGAGACAATGCAGATACTCAAAGCTAAGCACTGGAATGAGGTCAGTGGCCACTATGTAAGAGTTAGGTGAAGGATTGAAGGAGCTGAAGGCAATGACAACCCCATAGGAAGACCAACATTCAACTAATGTGGACCCCTAGGTGCTCTGAGAGAATAAGCCACTAACCAAAGAGTATAAATGGGCTGGTCTGAGTTTACAGACATAATTGCTTGACGGAAAACTAAATTATGAAAAATTTGTATGAAACTTCACCAACTTTCTTCATGGACTAGCATTAGTCTTCCAGCTTTTATTACTTCCTCTGTGGTTAAAGGTGAATTGAAGAGAAAATAACTGTTTTATCCTGTTAAAGGTGAATATACTGCCTATATATCAGCAGAAGTTGTATGATTATAGAGAAGATGCATCCCCAGAAAAGATCCTACTGGTTTGCCATGATGGTATGTGCCTAAAGAAACACAGTAATTACTGAACATTGAAGAAAACTCAGAAGTTCTTAGTAAAAAGACGAAAAGCAAAGAAGACAGTGAAATGAACACATCCCAAAATGTGATGACTCTGACCTCATTCGCAGACTCCAGCAGAGACTCACAATTGGCCCACAATGAGTATGAAAGTATTGTAAAGTAACAATGTAAGTTTGTATGTATATCAGAGTACTGATTTTTCTCCTTTTCATAAACAATGAAATTAGACATTTCATCATATGTTAAAATAAACGTATTACTTTAACTGAGGAGAGAGATTTTCTTTTTTTTTCATTCTTCAGTAACTTATTTATTTATTTATTTATTTATTTATTTATTTATTTTAATTTATTTTTTCTCAAATTGTAATTTATTCACACAGGGGTTATAAACATAGAAAAGCAGGATCTGGGGAAGGGAATGACAATGGAGTATGGGTGTTCAGGGGGAATACAGATATCTTCAGAACCGGGTATCAGCTAGGTGAAGGTTCAGGGGACAAGTCACTATGACTCTGCCTATGACTCGCTTGTCCTTATCTAAGTTGGTATTGTCTGCCAAGGCAACCTATTTACAAGGTCTATGACTACTCAGACTTGTAAATTTCCATAAAAGCTGCCTGTTTACATTAGCTTATAGCCATCTGTTTCAATGTTTTGCCACAGAGACCTAAGACTTGGTGTTAGTATACATGTATGACAGGCCTATTGCTAATTTTAGGCCCATGGCTGATTTTAGGCCTTCAGTGTGTAAGCAGGGCTGCCCCTGACATCTCTTCCCTTCTCTAAGTGTAGAAGGGCTGTGGCAATTCTAAACTTGCGAAGGCGGGGATAGAGGCCTGTCCTCCAGTATTTGAGAGGAGAGATATTTTCATTTGCAAAAATAAATTTACACGGTAAATTATAAAAGAAGCTCACAAAAGAATAGATATCATATTGAGTAACAACCAAAATTGGAAACATATATAAATATAAAGTTATTTATGGATATAATATTATATTAAGTGATAAACTAATATTGAAATTTCAGGATATCATATTTCACTAATAATCTTGGATTATGAGTCATGAAACATTTAAAGTGATTCCTTCAGAATATAATGCGTTAGATAGAGAGGAAACAAAACACTTTAGAAACTGCAAAGCAGTTTCATGTTACTAACTCATAATATATGAGTGCTGTAGTGCCCACAGCATGTAGCAAATAGCATGGTTCAGCAGGTGAATAGGAGGTCATGTGAAGGCCTTTTATGGCACAGTAAATGAGTCAGTGCTTTACTAAAAGAGAAATAAGTTTACAGAACAAAGGTTATTATAATTTAGTAAATAATACTAGATGAATGATAATTGGAAATTTAATAAAGACAATCATGGATGGCAACTGAAATTAATGTTTGAAACATCTGTTTCAGAGTTTAATATAATAAACTAAAACCTAAAGTACAAAGGTGGCTATAAATAAACACATGAGAGATACAAAATAATTTGAATTATTCCTAAGGAAATGAAGAAGTCTATCTTTAAACTACAGAGCTTAAAATTGGTTTATACTGTTAGAAAACTTGTATTCTAAATTTGTAAAAGAAGAAAAATATCTACCTTCTTGTGATGTGAGGTTACTGCATCTGAATACCTTCAAAATTAATTCAAAAGTTAAATACTTTACTTAAAATAAAGTATTTACTTTACTTTACTTAAAGTAAGCACTAAAGTTGATTTCAGATCAACTAAATAAGTTTTCCAAATTAAAAATAAGGAAATACAGGGAATGAGACTATAAAATTTTTAAATATCAACTTGCAAATGGAAGTAGTAAATTAAAATGAAATCCTTTTATGTTAAATACACTGCTCTAAACACTAAATTTATAAATACATAGGTAGCAGATAAAATTATATATATATATTTATATATATATATATATAATACTTTATATCAGCTTAATTATGAACAAAACAGCATTCACATTATCTAAATTTTAGAGGATGATGTAATATACAAACATAATGTTTATTTCAGTAGTAAAGAATAATTTCAATATCTCATTCCATTAGTAATAATTCCCTTATATTTTACAATAATATTTTTTCTCTCCTTTTCTGTCATTTTAACCAAGGAAACTATTTGAAAATGTTTTAAAGTTTCCTGAAAAGGCTATAGTGCTTCAGTAAAATTAAAATGCTACCTACCCTTGTCGTTCCTTATACATTCTATTCAGTTTTTCCCACTGGAAATCCATCTGTGACACTGATTCCTGTAGTTTCACCCTTTCCATAGGGGTGGCATTTTGCAAGGCTGCTGTTTTCTTCTTGTGAATTACATCAATCCGACCTGAGATTTGTTGCAAATTGTCTTTTATATTCTGAAATAATAAAATATATATCATAAAATAAACTGGCTTTCTCTAGAGAGTAAAAAGGAGAAATAGTCTTAGAAGAAATAGTTTTACAAGTATAAATTATCAAAATTATACATATAAGACTTTCATTCCAATATGTCAACTGTAGTTCCAGGGAATCTGGTGCTGATGTCTGGCGTCTGCTGGCTTCTGCATGCATATGGTTCACATATATGCACTCAAGCACAGAATGCACATATAAATTAATAACAACCTAAATATTTTTAAAAATAAAAATGAATCTGGTTGTCCTGGACAACAGACTAACACTTGACTAAGAGATTACCCTTTAGAAACACAGATTCACCTTAAGCTATACTTAAGAGATAGCTATTTTAGATCCATTATAAGGTTCTGTTGGGTCTGACTACTTTTCTTAGTCCTGACTCAAAAAGGTGTATCTTTTCCTTTTTCTTATCTTCTGACTTTTTCTCTTGGCTGATGGCCAAAAGTCAAATATACTTTCTCTCATACTTTGATCAATTTCATACTTTCTCTAAAGTTTTTTAGAAGTTTGATGAAAGAATAATATGTTATTTGGTCATGAATAAAGTTGAATGTAGGGCAGTCATATTCAAGTAGCAGAAGTAGGAAAGACTTTAAAACCCATATGTCACATTTACAAAATTTGGCATAAGAAATCAAAAGTATCTGATTTTGTAAAATGTAAAGACCTATGGGAAAATGGGCTAGTATAGAGAGGTTAGAGATATTTAATAATGGGCTTTGAATCTCAAACTAAACATTTTGCATTTAATTCAGTAACTAATAGTGAAGCATGGCTTTATAAATTATGAATTATGGAAACTAATCTGTAGAACCTGGTGAGAATATAGATCATGCCAAATATAAGCAAATGTTTGAAATAAATGTGTAAAATTCAAGAAAGCAATTTTTACTTATGGTCTTGTATATCTGCTCAAAGATGGGTAGAGTATGATAATTATAAGTGATATGAATTAATTTCAAGTTTAAAAGGTTTTCTTAGTAATTATATGGTATCCTCTTCAACTTACTGTGTACTTTATGACGAGAAACTTAATTCATTTATTCAACACCTCAACTGAACTCCGAGGAGAAAGGACATATCTGCCACATTAAGTACTGACATATGAGGGAAAGGAGGGCGTGATAACACAGAAATAGCCTGTGAATTTACTCATCTTTAAAAATTCACACTAAAACTCCCTTCCACCAGTTTTACTTACAGAAATGGTAATCACAGAAATATGTTGTGTTTTAATTGCATAAGAGATGGTTACATGTCTAAAGAGAGATTTTAAGAGAACACAATAATCTATACATAAGGATGGATCTCTTTAATAATATGGGTGGAGTAAAAAGATCCACTTGTTCAAAAACTAACTTTAAAAATGGAATATTATAGATTGATTAATTTAGCGTGAGGGGTATGTTTATTGATATAAGGTTTATATATTATAAAACACAGTTAAAACTATAAAGAAGTTATTCAAAGTTTTAAGAAAATAGATTGGATTTGCTATTAGTACTTAAAAATCACTGGATCTGATGTCTACCCAGGAGGCTGTTTATATATTTGTCAGTTTCAATAGTACTGCCATGTTTTATGGCTCTGAGCCTTCAGTGTGTTTATAGATATTGCAATAACCTGACTAGGTCATCTGCTATGAGTTTATACCAAGATGGCTTCACTGTTGCTTCTGACAATTTACATGACCAGGAGAACTTGTGTTCAATAGAATATGAACAGATGCAATTTCAGACTCTAAAGGTCATGGATTCCTTTTACACTTGGCCACTAATCCACTACCGAGAATCAAACGACTGGTAAGTTTTCCACTATGTTTAAAGAAAGTTGATCATTTGCATTCACATTAGAAAAAGGATGGCATTTGCCTATATTTTAGTAACCAAATGCTTAAAGTACAAAGCTATAAGGACCTATAAATACTAATAAAAATGAATAGGACCTTACCACCGTACAAAATTATCTGCTTCTGGTTTAATGTTTAATGTGATGTGTTTGTTTGTTTGTTTGTGTGTGTGTGTGTGTGTATGTGTGTGTGTGTGTGTGTGTGTGTGTTTGTGTATGCATGCACACACATGTGTGTGTGCCCTGGTGTGCTCCTATTCACATGGGAGTATATGTGTAAGCAAGTACAACCACACATGATCATGATACATGATACACACATGATATATCTGGGGATTTGAGTTTGAAATGTTTCTTGATATAATTTAACTTTCAGTTCTCTGAAAAATAGCAGAATTGCTCAGAATAAGTTGTGAACAGTTCTAGTATTCAAAGGCAGGAGAACTTTCTATCTTAAATGAGAAAAGCAGAAATTGGGTCAGGGGATGTCACACTCCCTGGATATCAAGATAATCATTCCTTGGCACATTCCCTAAGAAGAATATAAAGTGACTGGAATCCAAAAAAATCTCTTCAAAGACTCTATGAATACTACCCTGGGCACTGCATACAGAAAAATATGATATAAGCACCAAAGAAAAATTTAACATTCCCCAGTGTTTACTCTAAAATATATAACCTCTTATAGCCTTGACTATTTTAGTTTGTCTAGAAATAAGTGATCTTTACAATTTTTGACCCTACAGAAATGAAACCATAGTCCCTATAGTTGCTATGGTGATAGAGAAAAATCCCTAGGAAAATTTCCATTTTGCTTCCTGAATAGTTTCTTACAATATCTGAAAATATAATGTCAAAATGATGAAATACCCAGGTTTTGTCAACTCCCTTTGTAATTTTGACATGTCTTTAAAAATTGACTCTCTCATTTCCAGATAACTATTTATATATGATTTTTTGAGCCACTATACTTGAAAGTAAAGATTTTAAAAATGAAAATAAAAAGGAAGCTTTAATTTCTAGAATGTACTTGTTCCTAAATTAAACATGCTACACTCTTAATAATTAATAGTTTGAACTATCATTCATAACTTCAAGTGTTTTATCAGTTTTACAGTATTTATTGGTTTAACAACACTTCAATTAACATATTGTGATGAGAGAAGAGTCAATTTCATAAAGGAAGATGGAATCCAAGTACCAATGTAAATTTCTTGAATTTATGTTCCACTCTGCTATTGTTTTTGTATATAATCATGTGTAACAGATTCATTAATGACATAGGCATGAGTATCAGCCTTTATCTTGAAGTATACATTATTTTAAAACAGGAGTCTTTCCCAATATCCCATTTCAAAGGAGTTCTGTACACAGATAATATAAGCCTCGAGTACAGCACTTGTTCAAGCTTGTAGAATATTAATCTTGACAGACTAAATAGAAAAATAAATAGAAGATTGCAGGTAGCATAACTAGAAACCTAAACAAGAGATTTTACAGCTAAGCATATAGAGGTAAATAACCTCAATGACTCTTCATTTAACTATTTAATATTTCCTCTCATAATTTATAGATCTCTCCAGTTTAGAATATAAATCATTTAATGTAAAGTGACAGTAAATATTTTGCTGTAAGCATGTTTATTATAGTGTCTGTTTCTTCCAAACTGGGTGGCAAAGTTAATTATTTGAATGTCAGAATGCACTACAGAAACATAGCCAACCAAGAGGTGGAAATAATGGTATCTGATACATTTAACTTACTTTTAATTGCTTCTTATTGAAAAGAAACATTAAAAGGAATTACTTGATTTATAAAAATGTTTTATTTTGTTTTACCTATACTACAGCTTTTTCCCCTGGAATATCATGAAACATACTAATATTTCTTATATTTTAAATAGTCCAATTTCTGTTTCCCCTTGCCTATAATCATAAAAATAAATACTCAGCTCCATGATCCAAAATGTAAAATGTAATTCAACAAACACAGAAACTACATCAATCAATTAATAATTCATGAGCATCTTCGTGTCTTCACTTTCTACCAGGAAACAGGTTATAAAATACATGTTGAGGTCTGAAATATCATATTAAAGTTAATTTATTTAATATTATTATGTGAGAATTGGTGTGAGGATGTTAAATCTCCAGGAACTAGAGTTACAGACAGTTGTGAGCTGCTAATGTAGATGCTAGAAATTAATCCCAGCTCCTCTGGAAGAGCGGACACAGCTCTTTTTTTTTTAATTTTTTTATTGGATGTTTTATTTACATTTCATATGTTGTCCCCTTACCCCATCCCTCACACACACAAGAAACCCCTATCCAATCACCCCTCCTCCTTCTTCTCTGTGGAAGTAACCCCTACCTACCCCCCCACTTCCACCTCCCCACCCTCAAAATTCCCACCCCCTGGGGCATCCAGCCTTCATGAGGTCAAGGATCTCTTCTACCACCTATGCCCAGCAGGGCCCTCCACTCTTACATATTCAGCTGAAACCCTGGATCCCTCCCTAAGTGCTCCCAGGCTGGTGGTTTAGACCCTGGGAGTTGTGGTTGGTTGGTATTGTTGCTCTCCTCATGGTGCTGCAAACCCTTTCAGCTCCTTCAGTTCTTCACTCTAATTCCTGCATTGGGAACCCCATTATCAGTTCAATGGCTAGTTGTGAGCATCTGCCTCTGAATATGTCAGACTCTTGAAGACCTCTGAGGAGATATCCATATCAGGCTCTTATCAGCATGCACTTCCTGACGTCCACATCAGCATCTACCTTTGGTGACTGCACATGGGATGGATACTCAGATGGAATGATCTTCAGGCAGCCCCTCCTTCAGTTTCTGTCCCTCACTTTGTCTCCATATTTGCTCCCTTGAGTATTTTGTTGCTCCTTCTAAGAAGGACCGAATCACCCCCACTTGGTCTTCCTTCTTTATGAGCTTCATGTGGCTTGTGAGTTGCATCTTGGGCATTTCAAGGTTCTGGGCTAATATCCAAAAATCAGTGAGTGAATACCATGTGTCTTCTTTTGTGATTGGCTTACTTCACTCAGGGTGGTAATTTCTAGTTCCATCCATTTACCTAGGAACCTCTGGAATTCATTGTTTTT